AACACTAATATTATGTATATGTATATTTATATACTGTGTGTATGTGTGTGTATATATATATATATATATACACACACATACACACAGTATATAAATATACATATACATAATATTAGTGATCATTGATACACATGCATAGCATCAGCACAGAGGCACTGGTACAGAGGGTACAGGCAGCATGGGAGGGCTGTCTGTACCTCCCTATTGGTGAGCCTGTATGCCGTCCCCCAAAAAATGTGTGTTTAATCTCCCTTCACCACATTATGCTCTCTGACAGCAGAATAAGGGTTGTTGTGTCATACACCAAAATGAAGGAAATAGGAAAACAGCCCAGGCTAGTCATATAAAAAAATTGTAAAAAAAAACAAAAACGTATAAAGAATAAGAAGGAATATTTGTACAGCTCGCAGACTATAAAAATGAGGCAAACCGGCATGGATGTGGACAGCTGTCTCTGGAACCAAGAGCGCCTATTACAGTTGGCCATGAACTTACCTATATTTGACATGAGCGTGTCTAGGACAGTCACTGCGGACGTGTAGATACCAGTGTGCTTGGAGTTAAGGTTGTCTGTGATGACGGTCACCATAGGGACTAACGAATGGTGCAGACTGTCCTTCAGAATGGGGATCATGACCACCGCGGACTCCAGTGCGTACTGATTGACCTTCTTGTTGGCGTCCTGCATCCTCGGGTTAAAGGCATCAAATATCTGTGATTATAATTTTTTTTAAAACAATCAACGTCTGGTTGTTGTGGAAGATTCTATATAACACGAAACTGTTTGATACACATTATGACATTTATTTACTAAACATCTATTTCCACAGCAAATACTTTACATACTTAGGGGTCTATTAATAAACAAGGGTGAAGGGCCCTGCGAATATCTCTGAATTTTCATTTTGTGCGACTAATGACAAATACGAATGTTCTTAATGCATTTTCTTTTCAGATCGAATGTATGTTGATGTAATACAGCATTATAGCCACTAGATGGCGCTGAAGAGCTTTTTTGTTTTTCTTTTCCACTATTTGCTTATCCTGGTGTAGCGCCAGGATGTCGCTATCAAATTTAGTGTATATCTGGACTGTAATCAGTCTAGGTGCTGTTTATTCTGAGTTCTGCATTCTACAGGTGTCCCTGAGTTTGCTGGATTGATTGCTCCTCCTGTTGCTGAGTTGGGGACTCAGCATACAGTGAGGGAGGATCCATCCTCAGACTGTGACGGTGCACCTGACTCTGACCAATCCCTGAGCAGGATGACTCAGGGGTATGGCTGAAGGCAGGTGATAAAAGGTTTGGTAACACTTGGCAGAGCTCTCTCCGCCCTAGGGGCCTGCAAGGGAGGAGGCCTGTGTGATGCAAGTGACTGGCCTGGGTCTCAGCACATGGAAGGTGCTGGGGGCCTAGAGGCCTAGGATACTACAGATGCTTTGCTTGGGCCTCAGCACGTGGCAGGTGTTGGGGGCCTAGAGGCCTTGGACACTACAGATGCTTTGCTTGGGCCTCAGCACGTGGCAGGTGTTGGGGGCCTAGAGGCCTTGGACACTACAGATGCTTTGCTTGGGCCTCAGCACGTGGCAGGTGTTGGGGGCCTAGAAGCAGAAGATACTACAGGATATCTGGTATCCACCTCAGCAAGTGGCAGATGCTGGGGGCTCAGAGACTTCAGATGCAGCTGAAAGAAACCCTGATGAAAGCTGGGCTGGAGGTGGAGTCTACTTATGGAGGAGTGTCGTAGAGGAGCTGGTGAGAGCTACCGCCTGGAACCCTGTAAGAGATCCCTCACCCTATTCCCAGGTGCTTGCTAGAGAAGAAGCCAGTTGTTGCTTTATGAGTCCAGAGATAGTCCCCTCTCTCAAGGTCCTGGACTATCCTGGCTGTCCGCTGTACTATTTCTATTACTGGTCGCTCTTAAAAGACCATAGTGCTAATAATTCTAGCCGTTGCTACGGGAGAATGCAGAGTTCTCTGAATGAATACCCGGGTATCCTACAGTCCCACATCCTCTCTCCAGTTTGATCCTGCAAATAAATACTGAAAAGACCCTGTGACTTCAGCCTGTTCTGTTCCGGAGTGTTGGTGTTGCTAGATCTGAGGAAGGGGCCGGTGGCTGGCAAAACAGGTAGGAGAGCCCTAGTTCATTCAGCGGCTCCTTCGGGGGTAAGCCCTACACTGGAGTTTAGCTTGAACCCTGAAGAAATAAGAGAAGGACCTCACTGGTCATTTGCTACAACAGACTCTGAAACAAACTCATTGGTAAATTAATTACATAGTTACATATAGTTACATAGTATTTGAGGTTGAATAAAGACATTAGTCCATCAAGTCCAACCTATTAGGATCTCATTCTAGGAGTACCTGTACCCCTGTATATTACGGTCCCTTAAGAAATCGTCCAAAAGTTTCTTGAACAATTCCACATTCTTTGCTGAAATCACTGTCTGTGGCAGTGAGTTCCAGACCCTAACTGATCTTACTGTGAAGAACCCCCTTCGCCCCTTGTGCTGGATTTTTTTTTTCCACCAATTTTAGGTGATGGCCTCTAGTTTTTGTAATGGAGTTAATTTTAAACAGTTTATCGCTAATGTTGCTACCACCATTAAACATTTTGTACATGGAGATCATATCCCCCCTTAATCTCCTCACCTCTAATGTGAACATGTTTAAATTTAGTAGCCTTGTCTCGTAGCTCTGGTCCTCCATACCCCTAATTAGTTTGGTTGCCCTCCGCTGGACTTATTCCAACCCAAGGACATCTTTTCTTAGTCCTGGTGACCAGAACTGGACCGCGTACCCTAGATGAGGTCGAACCAATGATCTATAAAGTGGCAAAATTATAGACTTGTCCCTGCAATACATTCCCTTCTTAATACAGGACAAGACCCTGCTAGCTTTGTTTACAGCAGCCTGGCACTGCAAACTACCTTTCAGTTTGTGGTCTACAATGACCCCCAAATCCTTCTCCATTTCTGACTTCCCCAGCGGCATACCCATAATTGTATAACCCATTTGTTTATTTTTAATTCCAAAGTGCATTACTTTGCATTTATCGACATTAAACCTCATCTGCCACATTAATGCCCACTAAATTACTAACTTTAACACCACAGCAACGTTTCTACGTCTATGTTTTTTAATCTCAATGGCCGATAATGTGCACAATTAGGATTTGTTTTCAGCTGTCCACTCACTGGAGTGATGTTGGAGGTGACAAACTTCACGTTGTTCTTGCAGTGCTCCAGAAGAAGCGTCACACCGTCCATCTTGTTCTGATACTCCTTGGCGGTGAGTAGTTTGTTGAGCTCTTTCAGTTGTTCCGTCACCTCCGCTGCGCGGACAGGCTGCCTCCGCGGGACCGGGGATTCTTGAGGTTCTGGTTCTCTTTCTGCAGGTCGGCTAATGCTACAGAAGAAATGTATGAATTAGTCCGGTATCTCCTCAACTCTTCCTCGGGATCCACATACAGGGCATGCAGTCATATGTCATAGATCTCAATGATGGGAGCTGGCACAGGTACAGCACGCCTCTCACTTCCTACCAATGTACTTACAGCAAATTTTTCTGGGATCTCCCGTTTAGAGGTGAGGAGCTCATTTGCCCAGATCCCTCATAGCCACTGCAACTGATACAGAATTGTTATCAGGGTGTATATAGAGATATGTAGATTGGAATCTATACAAAACTTTTGTTAGGATGAGAATTCTTCTTGAAACATTTAAAATGTGGCCTCTCCTTCCCACTGTCACTTCTTCCTCACCTTCCCAATGTAATAATACTGAGGGGTCCTGTGATCCCAATCTCGATAGATTGCTCAGAGCCAATCAGGAGTCATTAAAGTTCTTTGGGAATTATTGTAATGTTCTAAAATGGTCAACAAAAATTAATGTAAAATGGCAGCCTGGAGGCGTTCTGTACACAATTGGTGTGCAGAATGCCCCCAGGAATGTCATTTTCTGCTTCTGTGATTGGCTGGCAGTTTTTCCCTGAAGTCTGCACTAAGCTAAAAGTAAAAATTTAGGTATTCCCTGCAATAGGAATTTTATTTTGGGTGAGATACTATCTAAGGGTTAATTACTACTAAAGGGTGCAGGCACCGCAACTTTCCTCATTACAACACAGGAAGTCCACCAGCTGTATATAAAGAACCTGATCCCCTCATTCAGAATTCAGACTCTCCCATTCAAGAACTAGACCCTCCCATGCAAGAACTAGACCCTCCCATGCAAGAACTAGACACTCCCATTCCAGAACTAGAACCTCCTATTGAAGAATTAGACCCTCCCATTCAAGAATTAGACCCTCCCATTCAAGAATTAGAACCTCCCATTCAAGAATTAGACCCTCCTATTCAAGAATTAGAATCTGCCTTTCAAGAATTAGAACCTCCCATTCAAGAATTAGAACCTCCCATTCAAGAATTAGAACCTCCTATCCAAGAATTAGACCCTCCTATTCAAGAATTAGAAGCTGCCTTTCAAGAATTAGAACCTCCCATTCAAGAATTAGAACCTCCCATTCAAGAATTAGACCCTCCTATTCAAGAATTAGAATCTGCCTTTCAAGAATTAGAACCTCCCATTCAAGAATTAGAACCTCCCATTCAAGAATTAGAACCTCCTATCCAAGAATTAGACCCTCCTATTCAAGAATTAGAAGCTGCCTTTCAAGAATTAGAACCTCCCATTCAAGAATTAGAACCTCCCATTCAAGAATTAGAACCTCCTATCCAAGAATTAGACTCTCCTATTCAAGAATTAGAATCTACCTTTCAAGAATTAGAACCTCCCATTCAAGAATTAGAACCTCCCATTCAAGAATTAGACCCTCCCATTCAAGAACTAGACCCTCCCATTCAAGAACTAGAACCTCCTATTCAAGAATTAGACCTTCCCATTCAAGAATTAGACTCTCCCATTCAAGAATTAGACCCTCTCATTCAAGAATTAGACCCTCCCATTCAAGAATTAGAACCTCGCATTCAAGAATTAAAACCTCCCATTCAAGAATTAGACCCTGCCATTCCAGAATTAGACCCTCCCATTCAAGAATTAGAACCTCCCATTCAAGAATTAAAACCTCCCATTCAAAAATTAGACCCTCCCATTCCGGAATTAAATCCTCCCATTCAAGAATAAGACCCTCCCATTCAAGAATTAGAACCTCCTATTCAAGAATTAGAACCTCCCATTCAAGAATTAGAACCTTCCATTCAAGAATTAGAATCTCTTAATCAAGAATTAGAATCTCCCATTCAAGAATGAGACCCTCCCATTCAAGAATTAGACCCTCCCATTCAAGAATTAGACCCTCCTATTCAAGAATTAGACCCTCCCATTCAAGAATTAGACCCTCCCATTCAGGGATCAGTTTGGAAAGGAGATGCTGGAACAAACCACTAATTCTTAAGAAGAGAAACAGTTCGAAATCTGCAACAAAGTTTCTTCAAATCCTCACAATGTCATTGATCACTCAGAGGAGAGTACTGGAGTGACTCTTTATAAGCTGCTCATACACTTAGTAGATTTTTGTACAAAATTTCATAGAAAAAAATCTATCTATGACATTAGGACATTGGATGAAGCCATCAGAGGATGGCAATGTGTCGATTGAAATTTCGCTTGATTTTAATATTTGTTTTTGGAATAAATGGAGTTTCCCCAAACAATAACTTAAAATTGTAAAAAATTAAAAGTAAAAAAATTAAAACAATAATAAAGAAAAAATGGTAAACATTTTTTAAACCCTGCCGCCCCCGCCATCTGGTTGCCATTCTCCTTTGGGGGAGGGGGGACTGGCCGGGAGGGGGGCGCATTGAGGAACCCAGGCTTGGGGCAGCAGAGAGTGTAAATCCGGCTAATTGCCCCCCTGTGTTGTCACACTGCTATATGCACTTCCAGTGGAGACTATCAGCACCCATGGCCGACGTGCAATGTCATCCAGTTAGGGGTTAGGTCTACTTTAACTGTTACCATACCTTTGCTCTGTTTGTTGAACGTCCTGGGCAGTCACTACGGCGCTATTCTTCTGTAGAGGACGCTGGCTCCTAGCAGATGGGACCTCTGAGACGCTGTCACTTAGCTCCTGGAACAATTAACATAGGATGTAGTATAATGTTTGTACAAAGTTAGGGAATAGAATGGACTTTTCACCAGCTCACGTACTTTCTGCTTCACAGTGGCGATGAGGTCTCGGAGGTCATGTGATGGGATCAAACGTTCCATCTGCACTTCAAACTTGGGATGAGTCATGATCAGACTGAACATGCGACGTCCATAAAACCTGCAATAAGGGGTATTATCGTAATGCAATGTGTGCATCACAGGCAGGACTGTATGGGGGGGGGACTCAAAGTTCATTGTTGGGCTCCAGTGCACTTTAGTATCTAAACCCTAATATGTTGTTCCAGATGTTCCTGTAATATCAAAAAGTTTAATAATTTAATGTACATGTCCTGCTTTTTATTAAATGCAAGGTGTACCCACAGACAACTCAGGGTCTATTTATAAACAATTTGCATCTATGAATGTTCATTTTGAACCAATAATGGCAAAAATGAACGTTCTTAATATTTTTTTTTCAGGTTGAATCTATGGTGATGTAATACTGCTTTATGGCCACTAGAGGGAGCTGAGAAGCATAAATAATGAATACTTTTTTCCTATGCTTCTCCGCTCCCTCTAGTGGCCACAATACAGTATTACATCACTATATATTCAACCTGAAAAAAATATTGAGAACCATCGTTTTTTGCCATTATTCACACAAAGGGTCCTTCAAATAGATTGATTATAAACAGACCCCTTCATGTCCTAGTGTTGTCACCCTTTCCTGCATGCTCCTAATTTGGACTGCACTGGCACATTCTGCCTTAGTCATCACAGTTAGAGCTGAACTCCAGACAAACAGCTAAATCAACTAAATGCATGTAAGGGGACAGTTTTTACCAGCCGAAGGATTTCTAGTGTTGTCCATTCAGTGCTGAGATTTACACAGCTCAGCCACACAGCACAGCCCTGTCTGGCAGGGCAGTAGACCTGATGTTTCTCTGCCGTAGTTAAGTAACACTTGCATGCAGGTCTCCTTCCCACTCCCAATCTCTGACTGTACAGTAAAAGAAGAGGCAGTAGCCTGATAAGCTCATCTGTCATTCTGCTCTTTCCCCCTAACAGCATTCCTGTATAACACCTGAGCACTGCAACACAACTGGCTGGCTGGTTGTGCTGCTTCTCACTCTTCAGTCTGAGCTCTGCTGTACAGGGGATTGAAGGAGACTGAGACCAAGTCGAATTCAGGTACTTACATTGCTTCATCCCCCCACCACAACCCCTTCTTCATTTTAAAAGCTTTAAAAATAAGCTTTTAAAATGAAGATTTGACAAAGAAAAAGGTTAAAAAAAAGAATCACCTCGGTCCCAGCTTCCGGGAGGTGCTGGTGACGTCACCATGTCTTACTGCTGTCTCCTTGCATAGCTAGATACTCAAAATCCTTAGAGAATGCATCTCAGCCTATTGCAGGAGTACAGAGAGAGGCCAGGAGGCAGAGGGGTGGTGATGTCACCCGTGCCTCCTGGAAGCCGGGAATGAGGGGAGTAAAAAGTTACCTGGTGTCTTGCTGTACATCTTGGACCAGTTTGACGATGGTGCGGAGGAAGGTGTCCATGCTTTCTCTGGATCCACACAGAAGTTTATCTGACCCCAGAAGCTCCACTACCCTAAGCAGATGCTTTGCCGTGCATTTCCTCACCGAGCTGTTCCGATGGCTGTAATGGAGGATGGCAAAAACTACAACCTCAGAATGGACCAAAATGGTTATAACATCACAATCTTAATGGACTCTTTAAACTGGTATTTTACTGTTTGGTAAAGGCTGGAGAGGTAAACACCCCCTGACAGTCTCTTCAAACCCTAAAGAATTCTAGTTATGAGATTTCTGGTCTGTATACTTGCTCTGCCCATTATGAGGGGTTTCCAGCATCCCTGCCTTGAGGTCCTGGGTTTGCATACCTGCTGTGCCCATTATAAGGGGTTCATACCTTCCCTGCACTGTATTCATAGGTCTGTACATCTGCTCTGCCCATTAAAAAGTGTTACCACCATCTCTGTGCTGAGTTCCCGGGTCCGTACACCTGCTGTGCCCATTATGAGGAGCTCCCACCACCCTGTGCTGAGTTCCCAGGCTACTCACAAATTACAGTTGATCTAATACACACCTCACACCTCCAGCAATCAGTGCCGAGAGCGTCTTAGAGGGGCTCACATTTTCCACCATCAGTCCAAGAGATTTGTCGGCTTCCTCTCTGATGAAATCGTTGGAGTCTCCGATCTTGTTCAGCAAAACCCGGGTGATTTCATCCACTTCCTGGTCCATGTTTCTGCGGAGATACTTGAACAGGTCGCTGATGGTCTTGATGGCGTGACGGGAGACCTTAGAGCGCAGATTGCTGACCTGACAGTGAGGACAACACATTGATCAGCAACCCCGATGCCAATTAAAAATGAATGTAAAAAACCTTCAACAGAAGAGCATCCGCCCAGCTGCGTGAGTGACAGCTGGCTCTCCCTATCTAGAGGCAGAGCCAGCTGTACCCGCCCCTCCCCCGTCCGTTCCACAAGTCAGCGCTGGTGGATCGGAGCGGGGAGGGGGGAATCCAGCCCCTCCCCTGTCACGGCAGAGAGCCGTGACAGGATCGAGAGGTGAGCGAACGCCGTTATGTGTTCGCTCACCTCCCGATCTACTGAGCCGACCTGTGACAGTCTCATTGTCACAGGTCGGCTAGAACTATGAGGTGAGTGAAAAGCACTCACCTCATAGTTCTCCTTTAACGTTCTTCAGACCTTGGAGAGCAATGGCCTGCAGTAGAAACTTCACATCTGGTACTTTTCAGTGTCAGACGTCACGATGCAGCCACCACCTATAAGTGCTGGTAAGCTGCAGCATGTTACATTTTTCTTCTTGGGTTTAGAGATACTTTAATGCTCATCCTTAGCTAAAAAGGTTTACACATTGCAGCTTTTCTTGTTACAAAACTAAGATTGTTCAGGTGGTGATAATGAAGGCCAAACCGTTCAGATATCAGTTTGAGAAAGGATATAGTAAAGCAAACAGAAATACTTTCAGAAACAAGTACAGGGTATACCGTAGGTCTTGCTAAAATCCTTATTATAATGTGTTTAAAGTTTTGGATGGAGTATGGAAGGGTTAGAAGCCTTATCGTGTTTTTACTGTTGTCTGTACGCTGTTGAGGATATTTCCGTTTCCTTCTTGCTCTGGAGAAACTAGAGGAAGCAGAACTCTGCAAAAATGTCTCCAAAATGTCTTCTGGAACAGGTGTCCCCTTTGGAAGAATCCCCTCTATTCCTGTTTATGGTTGCCACCTGTCCAGGATTCACCCGGACAGTTCGGGTTTGGAATGCTGTGTCTGGGTTTCAGGGCCAGCCAAAATTAAGATAGGGGCTACTGTACCCAGTGGCCTCACAAGAGGGGTGTGGCCCGCACCCGCGTGCCACCATTGGAGGGGTGACACCAATATGACTGACAGTCATTTTGGTGTCACCCCTTATGAAATATCGGGCACTCGGTCACGGACCGAGAGCCCGACAGTGTCAGGAGAGAGGAGGGGACCTGGCAGCTTATCCCAGCGGGTGAACGTCCCCTCCTCTCTCTGCCGGCGTCCATCACCAAGATGGCTGCCAGGAGGTGTCAAAAAGACTACTGCGCATGCGCGATGACATCACGGCGGGGGTTTCACCCGGTCTCCGCCCCCAGGTGACACCCACCCTCGGGTCGCCACTGACTGTACCCCCACTGAAAATAGTCTCAACTGTGATATTTACATATGAATGGGCGGAGCTATTTACATATGAATGGGCAGAGCTATTTACATATGAATAAGCCACCACTCATTCTCCCCAAAAAATGTCCGTGCGTTGCTTGAATGTTCGGGTTTCGCTTGAAGAAAAGGTGGCAACCCTATTCCTGTTGCGGTGACAACTGTTAAACCTTTGATCCCTGGGTCAAATAGAGAGGTTGACTCTCCCCAGCTGGGACCCAGAGTGCAAAAAAAATAAAAACAGACGGTCTAATCCTTGCCCCAATCTATCCAAACCGACATCAAAGTGTGAGCTTTAAATATATTTTAAAATCTGTCTGCTCATTGGTCAGATGGGACAAGGGCAACTTACCTCTCTGGTAACAGCAAAACAGATATCGTGGATTCTGGAGCTGAGAACCTCGGGATGCCAGGACGCCAGGCACCGCACACTGAGAAGACCCTTCTCCTTCTGCTCCCTGTAAATTCACAACCACAGATTATCAGGCCCCATAGTAACATTTTAAAGGGAACCCCCAGCAACCTCCCTACTGTCAATGATATTAAAGTCAGGTAGCAGG